GAAAACAAACTTTTAAGTAGTTATTAAAACATAAACCAAGTCATTATATATTAGGACATATTTGATTCCAGTTGCTATGGAGATCAGATAGCGTTAAACAAATCCATTCAAGACTCAATTTGGTCCTTTTAAAATTTTAAAAAATTAAATAAATTAGAAACTTATTATGTGAGTATAATACACATATATAATAAGCTTGGGTGAATGATATATAATTTGCATATATGACAAAGGTTTACATTCTCGGAGTGCCTTCTAGTTAATAAATATTTGTAGTGTAACATTTTTTGCATATTGTTTTTGTTCGTAATTATATAATGCTATATTATTATAATTATATTATACTCATAATATTATAATTAGGTTTCATTTAACTATTTGCAACATACTTGATGGCATGATTACACATGAATTGCTATGAGATGTATGTTGTAGCATAATTCAAAAGCATTAATGACATTACTACCGGTGACACCTGAGCGGAGTGAGGCGACCACTCAGCGTAGTCACCATTTACCAATGGTTGGTTACAGTGAGTGTAAAGTAATAATATTATGACTGTTTCCCTGATAAGCATTACATGATATTTGCAATATTGCAATAATGTTTCTGTTTATATAAAAACTAGTGTTGGAACTCAATTAATGAAATGCAGCTAAATTAACTTAGAATAGAATATTGTTCTGGCAAACTTTGCCAGACAGACATTGGTTCTTCCCTAGTCTTGTTACTTTATGTGGGGCTTACATGCTTACTATTTGGACTCGCATTATAGTAATAATGATTCTCTGTGCTCATGTTTTCTAGTTACAGTATGAATAGATTTGGGAATGTTATATAGAAAATGGGTATTGGGAAGCATTAAAATAAGAAATGAGGAGGCCAATAAGGCTTAATGAAAATGAACTCGCCTACGACATCTGGTTCACATTCACTCTATAAAATATCTACATGACCATTGACAAAGGGGGATGTATGACCAAACGTGTAGCAAACCCAGACCGAACATGCCCCCCGTGCCTAGCTGACGTTGCAACAGTTTTAAAAGTAAAATGATAACATCATTGTACTATTGTAAACATATATGTAATGCGCATTGGGGAAAATCAATCATAATATTATTACTTTACACTAACTGTAACCCCCATTGGTGACTATGCCGAGTAGTTGTTTCGGCCTTAACAGGTGTTACCCGTAGCAAACAAAAAATCACCTGGGAAACAACAAATTTCTGCAATTCACATTCATGCCATAAAAAATGTTATATGTAAAATATGTAAATAGTCCCTTATCGGTAACACCAATAATCAAAACATAGTCTAACTATTACAACCTTGTCCATCGAGATTCCAGGATGAATACAAACTACTATAACTCACTGCCTGGGTGGTGGTATATACCGAGAAAAAGTGGCATTAGTGTAAATAACAAGAACAATAAGGTCATTCATATTTACAAACAAAAAATTAATCATTTCTGAATTATACTACATGTACAGTATTAATCCCTGTATAATACAACTTTAATTGTATAACAACTCACAATTTATATATTAGCAATATATCTGAGCAAAGCCAACTTTTTGGCAGAAATAGGAAAAACCATTTATATTACATAATGAAATTAACATAATAAGGTACTGCACTATCTAAATAATGGATCTTGGAGAGTACTTATTTTACTAACAACTGGTTCTCCTGATCAGCAGTCTATCCATTCTCTATACAGATTCCTATGTTTAACAAATGTTTTATTCTAGTTCAATTTTAAACCGATATTTTGAAAATTATACAGTTTTATAAAGTTTAACTTGATTGACGTTTTATCTGATTGATAATGCTTCCAAGTTTTAAGATGATCAAATAAACATTGTTTGGCCATGAATGTTTTTTACCTCCATGGTTTGAATTGTTGTATTTTCAACAGTAACAGATATTTTCCCCTTATATGCTAAAATTATAGTACACTTACTAAAATGATCAAACTTCAAATGCAAATATATAGTACATGTAAAGTTTACAAAATTATCTAGAATGATTTGGGATTTGTTGAAAATGAACGTAAATTTTGAAATGTGAAATTGCCCTGCATTATGCGAAGTGAATGAAAGTAGATCTGATTGGTCGTGGTGGTTGTATTATATACCATTAAATACTTGATTGTATAGTATCGTTGATCGTATACGTTATTGTGAATTTCATGAAGGCATGATATGTTTTTTATTGAAATTCATAAAATATTTAAAAATATATTTATAATAATATTTAGCACATTTTCCATTCAGCGAAATAAGCAAAATCAATAAAACCCAGTGAATAATTAACCTTTTTAGAATTGTGATTGGTTGTTTTCAACCATTTTTTTAAATTTCTGAAACATTTATGAATATTTTATATAAAACACATTCGTATCTTCATGAAATTTACTGTAGTTTATTCAAAATAATCTTACCAAAAATAAATTAAGAAATACACAAATGAGAAAGAGAATAGCCCACAACCACCTAGATGACACTGCCATTACTCGATCCCATGAAGCAACGATCACTCTTGATTCTATTTTACCAATTTGACAGAAACTGCTGCATAAATATGCCCACTGTTGTTGATAATATTATTAAACCACAAAACAAGCAATCTGTAGATTCAAATCGCACACGAAGAAACACTATTTAACCGTTATCGCTGTTACCGCTCAGACGAGTAGTTACTACTCCGATCCTGTACTGACCATTTCACGAGCACACCCCGAGGAAATTGGTTATACATCAATTAAAAGTTTAGACAACTCGCTTATCATTCCGGCTATATGTTTATGAACATCGATTACATTAATGGTGACATGAAATTATGGGTGACAAGGTCTAGTTCAGTCACAAACGTGACGTGTTTCTATCGCTAAGGCCTCATATAATCGCGTCGCAACGCGTTACATGTCGTAAACTCCGTGTACTATTATAGTAAACAAACACAGACGGTCGGTTGCCAAGTGAATGTGCGAATGTCGCAGCTCAGTTGATTTAAGCAGTGAAGAATGTACTTTCACCCACCTCTTTTCGTGTGATAAGCAGCTGGTGGTAATCTTTTGAGGGTGAGGGGGCTTGTCCCGTTAGTTCCAGCAAAACCCCATCCTTGATCAACGACGCCATTTTTATTATTGCTGAAAATCAATGAATACAAGGCCCCTTAGACGCACCTAAATGAACAACAGCCTTTTTTTTTTAATTTGCTCAGTATTGTAATATGGCAATTTTTATCACTTTTAAGAAACATTTTTTTTAAATAATTCGAGATAAAAAATAAATAAATAAATAAATAAATAATTAAATAAATAAATAAATAAATAAATAAATAAATAAATAAATAAATAAATAAATAAATAAATAAATAAATAAATAAATAAATAAATAAATAAATAAATAAATAAATAAACAAATCAGTCATGGTATATAATTTTCTCGCCAATCAACGGCATAATCACCGTGTTCCGGCCATTTAAAATATAATTAACATGTTGTTTTTTTAAAAATAGGCAGAAACTTTGAATTCAACATGATTACATTTCGCGCGAAATGTATACAAATACATTTTTGACACTTTTTAAAACCCCAAAATCAGGACAACAAAAAGTACCCCATCATTCACAATATATGATATTTTCAGCCTATGTCACCAGACTACAATTTACATGTAAGATACGGCTTAATATCTCTGCCATAAAATCTATGTTAAAAGCGTTATAATATACTGCCAAAATGACCACTATCCACTGAAATACAACCATCATTTTCTCGAAAATTAGACTGGTGACCCCTAAGTCAATAATCGCACGTTAGCGTGGGGTATTAATTGAAAATGAATATATTCTGGGTATTTGCATTTATGTGTAAGCTTTACCTAAGGACTGCCGCCCTTTAAGCCTTTCAAGTTGTTCACACGTGCTGGGGGAACGGAGCTAAAACTTAGGGTTAGAGCAGCTTCCAAGATTTCTTAGGACACGTGTTTTGAGTGGCTATATTTTGTCCATTTAGTTAGACACAATTGTGCAGCGTGTGTTTCTGCTTTTAATAATCATATAAAAAAATACTAGGTAGAGGGAAAAATTACAGAAATGAAAATTTTGACAAAACATATCTGAGTAAGGGGGCATATTATGAACAGCTTTCAATTTTCAACTTTCTAGAACTGATGTTTAATTTAAAATGCAATCGTTGACTGCACCAGTTTTTACGCCTTTTACACCTCCCATTAAATCGCCGTGAGAGGGCGTTGTTTTACACATATGCACACGTGTCTCATATCGTGGTTAAACACGCTAACAGCACTCTGATTACAAACTATACGAATTCGCGTTTAAGTTGTGTTCACACGTATTTTCCAATAGCAGATTAAAATTAACTCCGACCCGGGTCGAAACCCGCGTTAGCTACACATGTGAATATCACATTAGTATATTTAGGTATGAAAAGCAATTGAAAAGTTGACGACATTGCTTGTATATTTGACTTAAGTCATTGTGATATCGTCCCCGCAGTTAAATTTAGAAATAAATGAAGTAAAAGTGATGGAAAAGCCCTTTAATAATATTAGCAGATTTTACCACTATCGAAGCAACAAACTGCTGACAAAGTTGTGAAAAGTTGTTGCAGCTTTGGCAGATTTACATGCAAATGTGACCTACGTTGTTATAGCATAGTGACCCATAGTTAAAAGTTCAAAAAAAGTCAATAAATATGTCATAAATGGCCGTTGTATTATTGTATAATATTTTTTCAGCATGTAGAGGTCATAGTTCAACTAACGAAAGACACAAGTACGAAAGACAGCAATTTCGAATCATTTTCCAAACAGTTTATGTCCGTCAATTCGAATAAAATTCAAATTTCTGTCTAGCTAAGTGATCAGGTGATCACCTCATCATACAATTAAAGTCAATGGGGCGTGAAGTACTTCAACTTGCATGGCAGACAACGTGAGAAAACAAGCTGATGAAATATATTTTTTGTCAAACTCATGGAAAAGACAAAAAAAACATCTTTTGTGATTCTTCATTCCTGTGATGTTAAACATTTTTTTTTTTTTTATTTTCCAGTAAGTTTTAATATTTGCACGCCTTTGACTGAATC